TTGCTTTTCTCTTTGCAAAAGACCCATCAGCATGAGTCTTGACCTTCCATAACCATTTACAGCCAATGGTCCTTCAATCAGAACGTAAGGGAACTATATCCCACATCTGAAACTCAATGAGAGCATTATATTCGTTCAAAATTGCCTGTTTCCAATTAGGATCTACTAGAGCTTCATCAATGTTAGCAGGTAGATCATGATGTTGTAGTGCTACAAAGATTTTTGGTTTATAAAAACCTGCTTTGCTGCGAGTTACCATAGGGTGAATGTTATGAGAGGATGAAGAAGATACTGAGGGGGTAGAAAGAGGAGCTAGTGGGGAGGAAAGAGAGGGGATTGGTGAGTTAGGAATGGGTGATAGGCATGAGGAAGTAGGTCAAACTGAACCGGGTTAGGTAAGGTGGAAGAAGGCTAAACATACAATGTGAAAACTATCTGTTGCAACAACTTTAACATTGTTTGGTTGTCCTGTTGGAAACACAGTCTCATTAAACCTCGCATGCCTGGACACATAGATCCTGCCAGTGATTAAATCTTTATATTTGTAGTCTTTGTGTTGAGAACTATAACCCAGAAAAACACAAGATACTGATCAAAACTCCATCTTGTGAGTATTATAAGGTATTATATGAGGAAAACATTCACAGCCAAACACTTTTAGAATAGAGTAATCAGGCTTAATACCATATAACTTTTCAAACAGAGTAGGATTATTAATCACCTTAGAGGGCTGCCTGTTATGTAAGAAAACATTAGTAGCAAAAGCATCGTCCCAATAATACATCGATAAAGATGCTTGTGCTGATAACGCAAGTCCTGTCTCAGCTATCATTTGATAGCACCTCTCAACAAGTCCATTCTATTCAGATGTACGAGGACAAGAGAATCTTTGTTCAATACCACAAGTGCCTAAGAAGGGTCAAAAGGCAACAAACTCAGATCTATGAGTAGGACTGCAAAACTATATGTGGTCGTTCATTATTATAGTGATGCTTGTATGAGTAGGACCCATGCAGAATGGAATGGATGATGGGAAGGAGGATAGAACCTTTGGTCGGCGAGGCTCTGTGATGCTTCAATAGAAGCTGTATTTTCATGACATTTGGAGACTGGTACATGGCATTTTGGGACAGTACTCTTGATAAAGCAGACCTTCGAAATTAATATCAGCACTGTGGATGATGTGGCTGGCCATAAAGTAAACCTATTGCTTTCACATCAGGAAGTTTGAATCATCGAGTTTAATCGTGATTTTCTTGTTGGAAAAACCACGAGCAGAGAATAAGGAATTCTCTGTAGTCGATCCAGCCAGAGTCGCCATCTTGCGTGAATCAATCAATCCAAAGAGGAGATCATCTCACTATAATGTTGATTAATATTTTCTGGTGAATAGTAATCAAAGCCGACAGTCCCATCTGGCTCTGATACCATCCTAGAGACTTAGATGTAATGATCTGGATCTTATTGAATATGAGGAAGTTCAGTATGATATATACAGATGAGTGGTGAGTAGTGTGACATCTCAATACAACTAGAGTATGACTTTTTGACCATATTACTGAACTAACTGAACTAATGCTAACAACCCAGACCTATGATGACCAATACTCTAATACGGGCAACTGAAAAAATCTATGTATATATTTTTAGGAAGTTGTGAATTGTTAAATAATGTAATTTCTGAATGCATATATGTAGAGCACCAATCCTCTGTTTGGCAATAATTTATTAATTAATAGGAAACGTGGAGGGGAATTCAAGTAGAAGGAAGATGCTTCCCCAGGCTCCCTTTCGTCCCATCTACACGCTTCTATTTTTCTTTTTTCTTTTTTTTGGGTTCGTTTTCATATTAGTTTCAAAGTTCACTTCTAGAATCGATTTTATATTCTATTCCATGTATTAATTAATACGTCAAGATCAAGGCCATGCTACTAGTATGTCACTCATACATAGCTCCAAGGTCTCAGACACGCAACACGTTGCTGGGGTATATTTTGATCAAATTTGCGGGTTGCTACTTGGTAGGATTTTTATTTTGATATTAAATGCAAGATATTCACTTTTCAAATTTATATTTTTTAATAAATTTAATTTAATATATATAATTTTAGGATGGACTATGGTTCCTAAAATTTCAAGTTATTTCAGGGAAGGAAATGACCATTCTAGAATTATTGATTGCCAAAAAAAAAATCACGTCCCTTTATTTTTTTGGGGATCAGCTTGTCCCTAATTATTACATTTGAGAATAGCATTATTGCCCTTTGGGACGCATTGACATAGATAGACATGGACATATAAAGCAATGGGGTTTTCATTTTTGGGATTGTATACATTGCATAATAATTAGCTATCACTAAAATACTGCTATATATATGTATATTCATTGCATGGAAAAGTAGGGTTACACCAAACCCTTCACAAACTACAAACAGGGAAATAGAGACCCGGCAACAAGAAGATTAAAACAACTTAACTTTGAAAGAACAGCACAGAAACAAGAGAGCTAAAGATGTATCCCCTCTGATCTTATATATAAGCAGCAATTTCTTTATATAGAGCTGGTCTTAGATCTCATATAACTAATGTTTTTTAGGTCTAAAATTTTAAGCTACTCTTTTTAGTTTTACTCTTGTTAAATACATGTTTTTGCATTGATTATTATGCATTCTCTTTCGTTTACTCTTTTCATAAGTAAGTGTTTATTTAAAATACAAATTCATTTCTAACACAACTAGTAGTATTATTTTTAATTAATTTTAATTAATATTTTATTTTACATAATTTAGTTAGTTATTACTTTTATATATGACCGGTGGAGTACTATGATTAATAGGAAGCATTAGAAGTCTCCGTACTTTTTTTTTTTTTACAATAATTCTCTTTTATTATAAATATTTCTATTTGAGGTATTATTAGACATTAAATATAGACACATTTTTAAGTAAAAATTTAAACCTTAATTCATCATTTCATGAAAAATTAGTTTCATTTGTTAGATCCCATTCTATTGATTAGTAGTCCTTTTACTCATGCACTGAGCCAGACTAGTGTTTCTCTTATCTTTTTTGTAATAATTAAAAAAAGAAAAAGAAAAAGAGGAACCATCGTTTGAGGTTCAATATTCTTTCGAATTTTTATAAGAAATAAATAAATTTTTCACAAAAATTAAGAATACAATTAAGATTAATAATATTTTTAATTTTTTATTCAAATATTCTTATTAATTAGTTCTTTCTTCGTCCCTTCTTGTAAGAGATACAATAGAACTTCTTTTTGCCCCAGAATAATATATCATATTCTTTTCCGTAGTCAGACCATTTTATCTTTAGCCCCTTGGTTTTTTTTCCAGAAAATATTAATTAATTATAGTGTGAAAGCAACTCTTTATTAAATGAAAAGAGGCGAAAATGAAATGTTGGCATACTTTTATAACTTATTAATTGAACAACTACCTTTTTATTTGTGTGCATAAAGCGGTTGAAGATATTTTATAAAAAGAGATGGGGAAATATTTAACATGGTGATTGTGTATTTAATTATGCTAACTTCTTTTTCTGGCATTTAATTATGCTAGCATTTCTCTTTAAAAAAAAAAGACTCTCATTCAATTTTTATAAAGAGATTTAGAGCAGAGAATATAATATAAGAATCATACGGAAAACGTTCAATTTTAGTTCAATCCTCAATTGGTGAAAGATCCAATTTCCTGCAAGAATTATTGAGTAACAACAACAGAAGTTGGGTAAATTTAGCGGAATAAATCAGTACCTTATAATATGATGAATTAATATTTAAATTTTTATTTAAAAAATAACCACATTTAATGCCCAATAACTTTTTGAATAAAATTAACTTTAATAAAAAGATACTTGTGCTTTTTTTTTTTAAAGGAAAAAAAAGCATCATGGCTACTCAAATCCTGGGAGAGAAAATGAGAAGGAAATGAAGACATTATTTTGCAAATATATCATTAAGGCAGACCCAAAAAATATAATTATACATTTTCAGTTGATTTAGTCTCACGAAGTTATTTTTTGAGAAATTAGTTTATAAATTGTGTTGACTTTTTATTTACAAGAAAATTGAAATGATTTTTTAATTAAGCATATATGTTATTTAATGTTAAAAGTCACAGACATGTATATTTATTTAAGTTTGGATTTAAGAGATGCATGAAGGACAAGTTTGGAGAAATAATTAAAAAAAATTAGAAAAGTAAATTACGTCAATTTTGATTATCAATTGTGTCACTTTCCTGGGGTTTAAGTAAGTCGAAACCCAACTTCGCAGAAATTATTATACTTCTCTTCTCTTAAAGCAGCACATAATTATTAAATTGGTCTTAATTTTAAATATAAAATATATTTTTCATATTTATTAATTTTTTTAAATTATTCTTATTGATATCCCATCATGAGAGATATTAAAGAAAATGATTATAGTGTTTTAAAAAAACATGTCATATTTTTTATAATTAATTAATTTACCTAACTTTTTTAGTCTAATCAAATTAATTAAATAAGTCTTATATTAGTAAGTGGAGGAGTTTTTTCTAACAGAATCATCAATACTAATTTAATTACTTCCCAAACAAATTGGCATCCCCCAATCAAGCAACTTCCTCCATTTTATAAGATTCTTCTGGAGTAAATTATGCAGGTTAATAAAACTTATTAAATAGTTGGGGGAAAAAAACAATAAAACGAAATATTCAGTATATTTTGAAAATACCTATTTTAACCTCTCCCCGTTTGCAAAACTACGTCTTTGATTTCGAATTTCCGATTTTGCAATTTTTTTTTAAATTTTTTTTCTTTTGGACGTTTTCTCTTCATCATCTGTTTTTTTTTCCCCCGTTAAGTGAAAAAAGTTGAAGGCATAGGGCACGCACATCAGAAACCGTTTTCCAGGTTAAGGGATTTATAAAATGAAACTTGGTTACCAGGGATTGGCAGTCTCATTCCTCAGTCTTCATTTTTTTGGTTTCAAGACTTTGATTTTTCAAATTCAAGCTTCAACGCAGGCGGACCCTTCCCCATCTCTTCCCTTGTCTCTAACATTTGTATTTCTCCGAACCTTCCTCTTCGTCAACAATATTTATTATCTTTCTCCTATTCCCTTCCAAGTCACTCTTGATTCTGCGTTTCCCATCCAAATCGTCCCCATTAAGAAAACCATTTAATTCCCATTCATTACTAATACCTCCGAATCACACCCCCAGCTCCTCTAACCTTTTCACTAACTTTCTCAGCTTCTATTCATTATCCTCACATCATTATAATAACGTTCTCGTCTTCACTTCTTAAGCGGCTTCTTTGTTATAGTTTTTTAGCTATGGAGTTTTTCACCAAAACCTGCGCCGTCAAGCTTCGCAGCCATCTTGACAAGTACCTTGTGGCTGACCATGATCGTGAGAAGGTCCGGCAGAGCAGAAACGGGTCGTCTGGGAGGTCCAGATGGGTTGTGGAACTAGTGGAAGGGAAGAGCCACCTTGTGCGTCTTAAGAGCTGTCATGGTCGGTACCTGACGCCGACGGACGACCCTTTTCTGTTGGGTATGACCGGAGAGAGAGTTGTTCAGAGCGATTTCGAAGTGGATTCGGATTGGAAGTTCGAGTGGGAGCCGATACGAGACGGATTTCAGGTGAGGCTCAAGAGTTGGTGCGGGAAGTACTTGAGGGGGAACGGAGGGACGCCGCCGTGGAGGAACTCCGTCACGCATGATGAACCGCACGGCTTCTCGGCGACGAGGAATTGGGTTCTGTGGGATGTGGAGGCCGTGGAATTGCCGGAGGCGCTCAACTATTCGTTTTCAGAGAGTGTGGTGTCGTCCTCCGTTTCAGAGGAGAATTTAGGTTCGGACCCGTCGTCGCCGATGTCGGTTTTCTCCTTGAGTTCCTCGCCGAGACGGAATTCTAAGTTACAGGTATGTGTCCTAACTTTGATTTGATATTACTTTCTGGGACAAGATATGATTGTCATGTTAATTTGCTTAAACGGAGTTGATTTTGGAGCTGAATTGGTATAAATGAATTGAATTAAACTGAAATCACTGTTCCGTGTTGACATTAAAACTAAAGATTCTGGAAATTAAATCATAGTGCGTAATTGACTAATTGGAAAATGAAAAGGAAGTCTTGCATATAAATTAAGAGGGCGTTTGGAAACTGTGAAAGGTGTTTTTTAAGAGCATTTTTTCATAAATCGAGATAAACTCCCTTACATATTTATTTTATATATTATAAAATTATTTCTAAAACCCTAGTTTGACATGAAAACGTACTAATCAACTTTGGCTTCATGAAATAGATCATTACTTTTCAACATAGTCCTTATATTCCATCCAACCCTAAATATTGAGTTAACTAAAAGTTTAGTTTTATTTTAAATTAAATAACACTTCAATCTATTTTGTATTTTAAGTTTATAATTTTTTAAAACTATATCTATTGATTGTCATATTGAAGAGTTTCTATGAAGTTATAATGTACTAAACAATTTGTCACACTGGCATGGGAAATGCCATGGTTATCGTGGCTTTGATAAACTACAACTACGCAGTTTTTGGTCATGACCTTTTTTTTTACCCTGTCTCTTTTTGCGTCAATATGTTTATTTTGCTGATTTCAATATCATAATGATAATTATATTGGTCATTCTTTTAAAACTCTGGTCATCCATCTTTTTTTTTTTTTGCCAACTGGTCATCCATCTTTTAAACTTGGTGTGATGTGGGAACATATCATAGTTAGCAAATCTATAAGTTGCATTATTTAGAAGCTATATAAATGATTTATTTATTAAATTTCGTACGATAATACAGTGTTAGAAGCTTTAAATTTTAATCCAAATAAAATTTTAAAATGGAATATTTATAAAACACATTGAAAGTAGAATAAAGATGAGGAAAAGTGAAAGGAAAAGAAATAGCGTGCACATTATTGTTGCTTGTGCCATTAATCTTTAACTTTAAGACGCGTTAACTCTAGAAATTCAAATTGTTCAAACTTTGCGCAGTTTAACTTAGTTTAAATCAGTAATGTATAAGATAAATACATGAAAAGAGTTTATAGACATGAATAATTTTATTATTTAATCATTAAAATTTAATACACATGGATAAACATATCTTAAAAAAATAAGATATGATGAGAAAAATAAATTTAATATGAACACAGGAGATATAAAGTTTATATTAAGAACCAAATCACAACCTTAAATGAAAATTATACTCTTTTGGTCTTTAATATATGACGTAATTGTTGAGTTGGTTTTTTATCATAAATATAACAATTATTTTTTATTTTATTTATTTTTTTAAAAAATTATTTCTGTTGATATTCTCTCAATCATAATCAAACAGAAGAGGAAGAAATGATATTAATGAGATAACTATAATATTTTAGAAAAAATATACTATATTCTATAAATAAACTAACTTACTCAATTTAATTAAATTAATTAAATAGATATTATATTAAAAGATATAAGAGTCATTTATGGCCGCTACAACTTTGTGACAAATGACAATGATGGGAGTAAAAGTTTGCTTGAGGATTTGGGGCTGGGGAATTAAAGTCCCAAGGGGGCTTGCTTGGAATCCTTTTTATTGATAAGATCGCATTTGGATTGGCTTTCTCTTGTTGCATCATGCCTCCTTCGTGAACATGCCCTGCCACCTCACTTCTTTTACATCTTTTTCTAATTACTTGTTTTCTTTTTAATTATTGGTTTATCATAAGGATTGTATCATCTTTAATATTCGTTGGTAAAAGACAAAAAAAATATCATTTTTTTACTGTATATCGATATCTTTTTATAAAAAATAATTTTATTTGAGGTACTTTTATATGTTAAATATGTGCGTCTCTTTTCGTGCAAATTAAGAAATCCGTTGGTAGGAGAAAAAAAAAAAAGTATCATCTTTAATATTCATGTTTTCTCGAATCTCAGTTTCAGACTTTTAGTTAGCATCGGCCTCCTTTGTCTCGTGTGGGTCCCATGCCTCACAACTACTTCCCCTTTAATCATCATTCTCATTTTGCATTTCCTGTCTGCTAGTCCTCATCCTGCCTTCCCTTTCTTATTTTATAAGAAACACAAAAACATCAAATAAATGACGCACTACTAAATATTACAATTTTTTGGAGTATATTTATAAATTGATTTATTACGTATACTACATCGCGTGCAAATAAAAATATATCATTCTCATGAAAAAACAACTTCATTCAGTATTTAAATTTATTGGGTTAAGTTACATTATTATGTGAATAAACATATAAAATATTTAATTCCACGCTCTTGTTTACCAATGAAAAATAAAAAAAAAATAGAAATCAATCAATCAATTCATTTACAATTATTACTTTATTAGATAACAACTTCGGCCAACTATGACCGGCACCGCGTCTTCCTCAACCCCACTCATCATAATAAGCACCGAACCGTGTCATGCACAGTGACCCAGTTTGGCTGGCGCTGACTGGATACCAGCCAGCGCACGCTTCCTTTTACCCGTCTCAAACAACATTGCTCACGCACCTTGTTTCTTCCCCCGCTTATATATATGCATATAAACAATCCAATCCGATTCTCATCTTGAAATTCTGAATCTACTATCTCCAGCTTCAACGACACTCTTGTTTCTGCCATCTTTGAATTGCAGATAAGTTCCAACAAGTTCAGGTGGGCCATGGACTTCTTCCACAACGCTAAGGCGGTGCGCCTCCGCAGCCACCACGAAAAGTACCTCCTCGCCGATGAGGATGAGGAGTCCGTCGCCCAAGATCGAAACGGATCATCCAAGACAGCCCGATGGATCGTTGAGTACGTCCCCGGCTACGACAATATCATTCGCCTCAAGAGCATCTACGGCAAGTACCTCACCGCCTCCAACCAGCCCTTCTTGTTGGGTATGACGGGTCGCAAGGTCCTTCAGACTCTGCCACGAAGGCTCGATTCCTCCGTCGAGTGGGAACCCGTGAGAGACGGATCTCGGGTCAAGCTAAAGACCCGATATGGCCACTATCTCAGAGCCAATGGCGGCTTGCCGCCTTGGAGGAACTCCGTGACTCACGATATCCCCCATAGGACCTCCACACAGGATTGGATCTTGTGGGATGTCGACGTCCTCGAGATTCATGTTCAGAAACCGGCGCCTCCGCCGGTGCCCCATTCCGATTCTCTGGACTTCGAATCCAACACCCCATCGGCTCGATCGACCAAAGCTGCGAACTTTTCCAGACAAGAGGTATGACTCGCGAGATTCGTCTAGCTCCTTATGAGGGTATGGTAATGGTTCGATCTAAATGATGAAATTTTTGTGTTCTGCAGTCTACTGATTCGAATGTGGGTTCGCCGCCGAAGATGGAGGGACGAACTATATACTACCATGTTGCTGAGGATAATGGGGATGTGGATGATGAAGGCGTGCAGGGTTATTCTTTAATTTTTAAAGGAAGTGGTGTTGGTGAATTGACTCGTAAGGTTGAGGAAGAGACAGGGCTAGAGGGGATCATTGTGTGTACTCGCAGTCCTTTGAATGGAAAGCTTTACCCTCTTCGCTTGCAGCTTCCTCCAAACAATGTTACGATGCAGGTGGTTTTGGTTCTGCCATCGTCCCAAGGTCAGCTTTTTCTCTTTTGTCTAGTGTTCTTGATTCTGCGGAAACTGGCTTCTACTAGTATCTAACTTTAACATACATCTCATATTTTCGCTCTGATATTTATAGAACTAGAAAACTTTTGGCTTAAACTGTTAGCTTAGGCTTATGTTCTGCAAGTTGATAGCCGGGATGTAAAAGATGTTGCAACTCTAGCTTTTACTGAACATGTGATGCCAACAATATGAGCTTTCTTCTTCTTCTTCCTGTTCTGGTGGGGTTTATAATTTCTGTATGCTTAATCGTTGGCCTAATACGTGCATTCCTTTTGTTATGCTGTTTCAGTGGCAAAAGATTTTGAGGAACAAGGTCTACTGTGAGATGCCTGGCTGGAGAATGTTGCAATTTTGAATCTTTTCATAAAAAGGCTTTGTACATATTCAGATTTTATGTAAAAACGTTTAGGATTATGTTGGGGGAGTTCTTCTTCTGCGTTCTTTGCATTTGTAAGCTGAACGCATAAACTTCAAATCAAGGAGGCACTTCTAAAGCCGCCATTGTGAAGGGTTTATAATTACCTCATAACAGCAAATATCGGTTCCATTAATGGTTTTCCTGTGGCTTGTAGACCATTATATGATGGTTACATGAAGATTCAGAGAGTTTTTGGCGGAAGGTGGTTTTGTAATTTTTTTCCCTGTGCCTTATGCTTTATTCAATTTATTTGTAAGATAACCAATGCCAGATGTTTTTTGTTAGATATGTAAAATTTACCTTTTATTTGAATTGGTACTCACTTTCTTCATAGCCTTATTTTTTTGGACTGAAATAAGAACTTTTATGAATATTGTTTTCCAAAATAATTTATTTTTCACGAACCATTCATACAATACACGGAGTAAAAAAGACAATGAAATAAAAAGGTTATCTTTTAATATAAAATATTGTGAATTATGAAAAAAAGCACTAACAGAACAGGGGCACCGTTGGAATGAGCATAAAATCTCTCTTTTCCTTCATAAATCACAGCAACGAGGCAGAAAGCTTCTCCTTCCTTTTCCGGGGGCCGCATTGGATGGGACGAAAAGGGCATCTGGATATTATAATGGAAAATTGCTAAACTCGCCCTTCTTGTGCTTTGTAGTTTGTGCTCAGCGGCCGACCCCCCGATTACAGTATTTGTTTCACGGAGACAAAAAGGCTTTCCATCACGTGGAGAGCTTTTGATTGATTCGTAAAAAAATAATACTCCTCCTCCAGTTCTAAATATATAACTTTTTTTTATAATATATTGTATAAGATTTTTTTTATAGTACAAATTATATTATAAAAAAATTCTATATTTAAAACCGGAATAGTATAATCCGAATTCCGAAGGACAATAGGTGCTACTCGCTACTGTATATTTTTATAAGCTCTAATTAATTATTTTATGTAATTTAAAAAAGTTAATAAAATTATTTTGTAATAAAATTCTAAAATGACTCTCAATAAAAGTAATAAATTGAAGAAATTTGATTATCTAGTTAAAATGTCAAAAAAATAATGTTTTAAACAAAACAAAGAATCAAGCGTATAAAGGAATTAAAACAAATAATCTCTCCCTCCTTTTTCTTCTTCTCCTCTACTCATTACGCGTCCATAAAAAATAAATTCAAACTATAAAAATTTCACATGTACAATTCACAGCTCTAGATTTACAGCAGACTAATAATAATAGTTTTACAAGATACTAAATCTTAACTATTGAATTTTAATCCAATAGCAAGATGGTGAAGAGAAGAAAATGAAGAGAGAGAGAGAGAGAGACGTCCACATCCGATAAGTAACCCATAATCAACCAAAAAAACGAAGGAGCCAATATAAACAAATAACTTCTATATAGCAACACGCCAAATTGTGCCGTGCCGTTAGTGAATTCTATTTTACTCAATAATAATTTAGACGAAGTTCCCAAGTTCGTTCAGCTATACACGCCTCTTCTAGATGGTACAAGCTAAAACAGAAGCATCATTCACCAATAATCTTTACAAGAACAGGTTCCATCTTTGAAGTGATGGAACCGAACACGATCTCTTACAATGATCTCCACATTATAAATTCTGGAGACCAATTTGGTCACCTTGTGGCAATCATTGCAGACTCTAAGATTCTTAAATATTCTTATGGGCACACCCGGTTTTGAGTTCAATAGCCCAAAAGCTATGGCCAATCTCTCGCTGTGCAGCCTCAACGTACTCTGTTTTCCATCACCAATCTCATCAACCATAGTTGCTCCAGAATAATCAGGTGAATACCCAATTGATTTTAGCTTCTCATCAATCACATTCAGAAACTTGTATATATCTTTACTTTGGGGATGAGTCGTGTCCCCTGCGAAAAATTCATGAGTCACACCATCTATTTCTACCAAACTACATCCAGGCTCTTTAATCACACCCTTATCAGTCATCAGTTTTCTAAGTGACCCTACATCATTCCATCTTCTAGCGGAAGCATACACTTTGGAAAGAAGTACATAAACCCCACTGCCAACACTTCCTTCTGACTCAAAAATCTGCTTAGCCATTTCTTCACTTAGCTCAACACTTGTTTGTTGCTTGCAGCATGCATCCAACAGACTTCTCCATATGACAGCATCAGGTTTCATCGGCATTTCTGAAACCAAGTTCAGAGCTTCTTCTATGCGTCCACCTCGAGCGAGAAGATCAGCAAGACAACCATAGTGCTCTAATCGTGGTTCTATATCGTATTCTTTAATCATCCTGTCAAAATACTCAAGTCCTTCGATAACTTTACCACTATGATTACAGGCACTCAATACACTGACAAAAGTAATAGAGTTGGGTGAAACTGTCTGAGTTTTTACCATACGGTTAAAGCAATCCAATGCTGCCTCAGCTTTGCCATGCATGGCAAGACCTAAAATCATCGAATTCCATGAATTTACATCTTTATCAGGCATGCTTTCAAAGACTTGTTCAGCTATTTCTAGGGACCCACATCTACAGTACATATCCACCAAGCAAGAGTTAATCAAAACATCATCAGCCATATTTATCTCAGACTTCTTCAAAATATAGGCATGAGCCCACAGACCTAGAGACAGAGCACCTAAACCAGCACAAGCACTAATAACACTCTGCATTGTATAGTTATCAGGTTCAAATGCACTTTGCATCTGAAGGAAAAACTTCAGGGCAGTGTCAAATTCACCAACCCTCACATAGGAATCAATTAGTACATTCCAAGAAACCTTACTTCTCTGGAACATTTTATCAAACACTATCTGCGCTAAGTCTAGGTTACCACACGACGCATAGAAATGAATCAAACTATTACAAATATGAATATCAGACTCAAGACCAAGCTTCAAAATGTGGCCGTGCATTTGTTTCCCTTCAAAAAAATAAAACAGATACGCACAGGCCTTTAAAACAAACGGGTATGTATGTTTATCTGGAATAACACTCTCGTCTTCCATCATCGCTCTGTACAGCTCCATGGTGCGATCTTTAAAGTGGGTGCTTCGAGCGTAGGCTCTAATGAGAGTGTTCCACATGAAGGAATTGGGGTTCTGAAAGTGATTGAAAACTCGAGTGGCGTAGTGAAGATCAGCAAGAGACGCGAAGTGGAGAATTCTGCTATATAGGAAGAGGAATTGTGGGTGGCTGCTGGGGATGGAACGCAGCGTTTGAGAGTGAATTTGCTCCAGCAGAGCCATATCAATGGAAGAAGGTCCCTTTAACAATTGAAGAAGACGAGGGAGGCTGCTGTGCCTAAGCGATTCCCCACCACGTTTGACGTTGTTTGGGTAGATAACGGTTCCTGTTGAGATTGTCACAGCCATTGTCAGAACCCAGAAATATCTTAGCCCAATCAAAGAACAAAAGGTGGCCACACACATATATCCGGGAGAAAAACTGTTTTTTTCATATATTAATATTCAAAAAAACATATTTAACTTTCTTCGTGGATCCGAGTATCGGACAGACAGATTTGAGAACGGTATTTGATTAGAGTAAAGAAGGCTTCAGATTTCCTATTTTAGTTTCTGTGGGCTTAATTAAAGCATAATTTTCATCGATTTTTTCCTCAGTAATTGTTCGATAAAATTTCGATTGCATTTTTTTTCGAATTAATATAATGTTTAGTTCTTCAAATTTGTTTTTATTTGATTTTGGTTCCTCAAGTTTTGAACCATGGGTTTTGATTCCTTAAGAGGCAAAATAGCTAAAGTTTTTATTGAATTATAAAAACTGATATTATATTATAAATTAAAAAAAAACTTGAGGAACCAAAATCAAAGTGAATGAACAAAATTTGTATTAACCCATTTTTTCCCTAGAAATAGGATTTTCTTTATAAAATAAACAAAATAGTTGCCAACGATTACACATAATTTTGGAGGCAATAAACACAAAAGTATATATAGATGCGAAAGGATTTACATAATTAATCAATATAAATATAAAACTTGTAACAAACGTTGTTTGAAATTGGATCCTCCTCAAATTCTCTCCCAACACTTTTTTCCATACATAATTTGCATCAATAATCGTTCTATCTAAACAAAATGATCTCTTACATTAGAAAATTAATGGAAGAAGTTCAAATTGGCTATTTTCTCCCAAAAAACTGGATCAAGATAACAAAGAGAAACTTGTTAATGGTGCCACTATGCGATCTATTTTCTATTAATGAGACTTAGTTTTATGGTCATTCAAGTGTTTCCTCTAATACTTCATTGGGCTGAAGAAAATTAATTATTAAAGTCCACAAGTTTAAATGAAGTATATACTATCTCTGGTACTTGATACAAGAGCTAATTGATTAATTTAAGTAAATTAAAAAAATTAGTTAAGTTAGTTATCTGTCATAAATATGTGTTATTGACTTTTATAATATATCATTAATAATCATGTATATTAGCTAAAACTATCATTTGATGAAATCTTTATCATGTAGAACTACTATATAACCTATACTAAAAAAATGGATAAATATCATAGACAAAATGAATTGAAATATTATATTTAGGATTAAATCAAATGTCAGACTAGCTTTTATATTAACTACTGAAGTGGTAGTTAGATATATGAAATTTCTGCTGGAATAGATTCTCTGGGCACCCTCCTAGCCTGTCTCCATGGATACTTCAGCCCATACCACCATATAGATGCAAATTGATGGGGACAGACTCAGGATTAAAATATTTGAGGAGGTGAAAATTAGAAGAAATTTATAGTGGTAAATTGAATTAAGATTAATAAAAATATTAATTTTCACCATTATTAAATATTAGTACTTTAATCTGGTGTAACTTAATTTGAGAATAAAATAAATAGTATAGACACATAATAATATCAAACTTGTTTTACATCACGAGAATTAAGTCCTGCGTGGTATCTACTTAATTTCGGAGAGAATGTCTTTTCCAAAAGCATACTTGAACAATAATATATATTATTGATATTGATATGAAATCACACAATAATGTGTGTGTGTGTGTGTACGAATTGCCCAAATATATAATTTAATTTCACTACTTAATTTTGTTTGTATATACTGATTTCATTTGCAGCTTCCAGTCTTAGTGAAATCCCTCTGATAGTTGTTAAAGGAGGACTACATGAAACTTGGAAGATGTGAAACTCAAGAATAATATAATCAACAAGTGAACATATTATGACTCATTTAATTTTTTGGTTTATGTGTAATAATGTACGTAGTATGAGTTAATGAACTAATATGAACGATAAGGTATCAGATTCAAATTAATTGGTGTCCTTCTAGACACTACTCCTTAGCAGACACCGCAGGAGCATCCCGTGGACTATTAAATGGGCTGGTTTATGTTGACCCCGTCAAACAATACTTAGCTTCACTTGCCAGTTATACAACTAAATGAGTAGTTGACTCACCTAACTTGCTAAATAAAATGACATTAAAGAAAACAGCTGACAGCAAATATTACTTCCAGTCCTAATTATAAGAGCCAGTTGACTAATTTGAGGAGATTAAGAAAGTAAGTTAAGTTAGTTATTTGTCATAAATAACTATTGTCTTTCCTAAAATATCCTCACTAATCAAGTGTATTAATTAGAACTATAGTTATTAGAAGGATTATCTTGAAAAAAATTAAGTAAATATGAAAGATAAAATAGATTGAGGTCTTATATTTAGGATCAAAATAAAAGTCAAATAGAGTCTTATATTAAAGACCGGAGTTAGTATATGATAAAAGCAAGGATTAAAAGGTTAAATAACTGGCTAGTTATTTTGTTCAAATTGACAAATATATGAAAGATCGGGTATCATCATATTCAAATTAGTTGGTCTTCTTCAAGACATAGCCGAGCATATCGTAGATTATTAGACGCGTGGTTTTTGTTGACCCCATCAAGCAATACTTCGCTTCATGTACTAGCTAATCAACGAGTAGTTGATTCACCTAACTTTGATTTCTAATAAATTTTATGAAAGAAAAAGAGCTGGCAGCAAATATGTGTGTGCGCGCGCGTGTGTGTGTGAGAGAGAGAGAGAGAGAGATAGAACAAGCTAGGATCAGAAGATTAAATAACTAGATATATATTATTGGGTATGTGACTCTTAAACCACACATTTAATTATAATTCGTGCAATTAATATGTGCAGAAAGACACAAGTAAACTTTGAAAGGGATGAAAATTGAAGGAGGAAGATACAAAAGAAACATACCTATATACAGTTGTTCTGGGACTATTGGAGCCCGATGATGGCTCATTACGTTGTTCCCTGTCGTTAAGTACCAACCTCTCATTCTCCTTCCGCCACAAAACATGCCGTAGATTGCCCAGTATAGTACCACTGCATTATTCAATCTCAGATCAAACTCACTAAGCATCACTTAAAGGTGCTCATAATTTTTATGTATTTATAGCTATTTAAATCAGATGCCAAAATTTTCAAAGGTGCTTTAATTCTTAAGAAGATCAACATACGCACCGAGTTGAAAGGCATATATTAGGAAAGAACTCTTGATGTGTAACGTCCGGTGAGTCGCCGGAATTAGGGTCGTCGGAGGGATTCTGAGATGCAAGGCTGGCCCTTTGCAGTTGACTTGCAATCTGGATCTCCCCCACGATACAGCGGCTCATTGACTCCAGTTTTCTCATGACTTCAATCGCTATTTCCTCCACAAGCTCGGCTTCGCTTCTATACAAAGAAGAGCCAGCAGATGGAGACAGTTTTTGAGCTCTTCAGAATTCGATCGAGTCTCTATCATCTGATCATCTCTTAAAATTCATGCTTACTACAATTCGTCATTTCATGAATCTAGAGACGATCCGACTATAGAGATCTCCATAAACAAACTCTACAAACAACAGTATCTTTGCTTGAAAAACATTCATTTTGATCTCTAAGAGGACGTATTTATACTAAAACAACCGATCAGAAAAAGAGAAATTAATCAACCAGTTGTGTGTAGTGCTAATAATAATTACCTAGAACCTGAGCACTCCCAGCCAGAGAGATTGGCTGCTTCTGTCATGGCTGTCGTCCATTGCTGCACTGTGTCGTTGTTAGCCTTAAACAACTTCTTATGTCGTTTAAAAGCAGTTTCATAAGTGCCTCGCTGATGTCGCACATCAGAAGGACGGACTTTATAGAATATGGGAATCACATGTTGTCCCCTGGTTCTCTTGCATTCCATTATCTTGGTGAGTTCATCCAAAGTCCACCTCGAGTCAGCATACCTTTCTGAGAATACGAGGAGTAAGATCTTGGATTGCTTGATGGCTACCAAAAGCGTGGAAGAAATCTCATTCCCTCTCTCTAGATCGCAATCCATGTAGGTTCTGATACCGTGCCTTGTAAAAGCCGCACGGAGATGGCTTACAAAACCGTTGCGAGTGTCTTCGCCTCTAAAACTGATAAAAACATGGTGACTGGGGCAGGGGCTGGGGTTGGTTGAGGAAGTCTGAGAAGAGGTAGATGATGAAGCTATTGATGGTGACCATGATTTCATCAAGCGGCTGTCATCTTCAGATCTGTAGCTGTTAACAGACAGGCGATGAGCATTTTCTTTGGTACTGGGGCTGGGAGCGAGGGGGGAACACTGGGAAGATGAGGATGAAGAAGATGGTGCTGCTGATGGTGATAATTTCGTACGAACGTCCTCCCCGGAAACGATGAAGGCATCATGAGCGATGAATTCTCTGGTACTAGGACTGGGGATGGCGGAGTAATACTGGGAATCATCATCATATGAAGATGAAGACGAAGACGAAGACGATGAGGCTAATGAGGCTGAAGAGCTCATGTGGGTAAATCTTGCTATAATTAACAATTCGCTATCAGTTCATCTTCAAGGTTGTTTTCTTCGGAGCGTTTTGCAGCCGCAATTGACGCAAAAGCAAAATTCATTGGACGCTTAGTTGCTGAGATGCCCTTGGGTTTATTCTATTTTATTCTGGCTGGGGAGATGGGGTACTTGCTGTTTATTCTTGGCGATTTCCCGGAAAATGGAAGTAAATTTCAGAGCGCAGCAAGATTGCAGAATGTTGCTTTAAAAAGATGACGCGTCATCTATGACCATAGAGCATCTCGCATTGAAGAGGTCGATGGATCAATTGGAGGATTCCAAAGAGCGTGGTTTAATTAATTTCCACGTATATTTAAGGTTGATGAATAATATTGAAATTTAATACATTTATGAGGTTTTTTTTTAAGAAAAATGGATACCATATGAGATTTAATTTTCTGAGTTATATTTTAGATATTGATATATATATAGTTGCATAATTAAGTTTATATATTTTTAATGTTTGCCTTAATAATTTGAAGAATATTTGCTTCCCATCAACCTCATAACATCAATAAAATACATCCCTTTTAATTAAATTATTATTAATTAAAATTTTGGTAAGGTATGTGTATCAAAAAAAATTTGGTAGGGTATTATTCATTTAATTTTACATGAATAGGTAACCACTGTCGTTTTTGTGTATATTTAAGTTAATCAAAATTAAATTGTTAAATACTACCTAATTTTAAGACCAAAATAAAAATCAAATAAAATCTTATATTAAGGATCGGAGGAAGTAGTATTCTATATCTATCCTGTTTATTTATAAAACTTAAGAGCATGCTTTGGCATTTAAGAGACATACCTAATTGTCACTAGTTGCTTTGATTATTCTCATTGGCTGCTCTATAATCACTCAGTTAACTTAAAACAGAATCAATTCCAGGCGAGTACGTCACTGTATACGTTATTTGCTTTAATAATTATGTATAGTCAAGTTTAATGATAATTTTCCTGTGGTTAACCGGCAAGTTATAGTTATCTCAGATGTTAATTGCATCCTTAATGTCTTTTTCTATATAACTTTTTTGGGTGTCTTCCTGGGTTGGACAACAGAGATTTTTAGAATAACCTGTGGAACAGATTAACGTTTATTTAATTTCAGAAAGCGAAATTTTGTCTCTATATATTGTTCGCAGTTAATTGAATTTGATTGTTAGTTATAGACGTGTATGCTAGTAATTGGCATCTTCCCTTCGTTGTAATTAAAAATAGTAACAATCGAATGTGGCCTTACAAACAAACACTAATTAATTGCTTATGATTGATTAGTTGGTTAAATTCTGTGTCTTCCGCTACGAAACCTTATCTACAACCTCAACTTGCGGCAACTTCCCAACTCTTGTGATTTTTGTTTTTATTTGTTGAGAATAATTTAAAAGCAACACGTGGCAAACTTCTGAAACAATGGGGTTAAACCGACGCTCCGATCTTATTTGTCTCCATCATCTACAGGTTTAGTCCCACGCATTAATTTTCTTATTGGGAAAATTAGGATAAGAAAACCTAAATAAAATAATATTTATTAGGAAGGATCTTAAAAATTAAAATTATTTAGAAAAATAAAAAATAAAAATAAAAATTTAAAAGCTAAAGTATATTTTTAGTCTTTTAATTTCACACAAAGTTTTACTTTGGTTCCTTAACTTTAAAAACTAAACATTTAGTCTTCTAATTCTAAAAATATTAACAAAAAATGATAATACTAAGCTCTTGAATATTGATAAAATATTATCAAATACTAACATATTAAGTTTAATATTTAAAACAACCATGATTGTTATAAAAAATCATCATTTAAGACTAATAATTTTGGAGTTAAATGACCAAATGTATATTTTAACCAAAATTAAAAATACCAAATTGTCCCTAACAAAGCACTGGTCCCCCCCTACTGATAGCAATTACGCTTACTATTCCTTCTGCTGCCATTATATCTCTCTCACATTTTACAAACATTTCAATTCAATTGATCCATTTGTCTGAGTTGCGAGATAAGAATACGTCGCACAATGAGCTTCATGAATTCCAAGTTACAAGACAAGAACAAAGAACGAGAACGAGACGGATTCACACACGTAGCATTTATTGAGATGGGTTAGGAGTTTTTTAATGAAAAAATGAGTTAGGACGTTCCTTCCAAATAATTACGATTCTTAAAATCTTTTGTAATAAATATTATTTTTTTCCGGTCCTTCTCCCTAATTTTCCCTTTCTTACTTCCAACTTCTCAGTCTTTGTGTCTCTCTTTTTCTTTTTTTAAATATCATTATTATAAAAGTAAAAATAGAAGTCTTTTGTGTTTCTTTTTCAGTTAAAATACTCTCTAAAAAAATATAAATGAGAAACGCTTAAAAATTGTCTTTGTCATGAATATGATAATATCTTTATAGAGTATTGATTTTCTATTTCTCCCCATTATTCATATCTATTATTCTTATTGGCTACCTATTTCTATTTTGTTTCCAACTCACACTCTCTCCACTTCTTTCTGTTTTTTTTAAAAATAATTTGATCATTCTCTCTCTCCTTATTAATACGGACATTTAGGATATATACTTTTTACATATTTATTGTCCAAAAATAATTTCAACTATTTTTTTATCCATGTAATTTAGTTATTCTTCTATTCATCTCTTATAATAAGAAATGAAGGGAGTATTAGAATTTCAATTAGAAGACACAGAGTCGCTGCGGCTCTTTTATATGAAAAAAAAAATCTCTTGCTTTTTCTTTATTGTTAAAATACGTTGCGTGATTCTATCAACAATGTGGGGTCCGGATGCTCTTAGAATTCTTCTCTCTCATTTACTTCTCATAATCCTATCTCTATTGTTAGTTTAAAAAATAAATAGTTCAGGTTTAATATTTAAAAAAAAAAAAGATATGCACCACCTTTCTTCTATTTATGTACTATAATAATAACAATTTTTAAAAATATTATATCTGAACTATTTATTTTTTGATTCAATGCTGGAATGAGATTTTATAGTGGGAAAAAAGAGAGAGGAGATTCTGAGAGGATCTCTTTTGGTGTGCAAGTAATTTTAACTCTCACTTCAAATCGTAAATATGATTTTGTTATTATGATGATTAAAAATATATATGTTGACTAAATGTCCAGCTAATTGTTCTAGAAGTATCTGTATTTTATTTTAATTTATCTTCAATAATTGACTTCAGAAAATGTGCTTGCTAGGCAAGCAATCGACTACAAGGACATGAAAACACCAAGTTTCTCTCTCTTTCATGTTCTATAAGGACGTGGAGAAAATATAAACCGCGATCAATTCTCAAATTAATAAAATATGTGATTTAGAGTTGTTTGAGTTTTTATTGTTAAGTTATTCAATTAATTAACGACATATATATTGAAAAAAAAATCACTTTAATAGGCATTCTTTGAGAAATTCATGGAGAGAGATCGACATTTACAGCTAGTGTTGATCAAAACAGGATCAACCACATTATATTCTCAGAATTTTTCATAAACGCAGAGACTAGAGACAGAAGAGCTCGTAATTTAAACCAACACTCTGCATTAATTGTACAATTATGAGGTTAACATACGTTTTGCGTTAAACATTTCATCAAACAAGTGGCACGCATAAAAACTAAATAGGAATTAAACTAGCTTTTACAAAACAACATCAGATCAGACTCATCTGACTCAGACCCAGGTTTCAAAATGTGGCCGTGCATTTGTTTGCCTTTGGCCAAAAAAAAAAAAAACCATACATGTGCAGCCCTTTAGAACAATTGCAGAAGTTGCTTCAACTATGAACAGAACAAGATGATAAATGTTAATGTCGCGTTCCCCACCATATATGCTCTTGTTTGGGTACATATCGGTTCCTGTGTTTACATTAGTCACGTACATATATATTAGCCGACGATTTAAAAATAAAAACAGTTACTATTAAACAATGGTAACATAGCTAATAATAAATATTAAATATCTTAAATCGGAATGAGAGTCTATACCAACATAAGCAATAATAATGGGGAAAAATAGAAAGATGTGACATATTTTAAATACAGCATATAATGTTTTATAAGTTATCTTGTACTGACAAATAAAAATTTTTGGGGAAAAAATTTGACTTGATTGAATAAAAAAATCCATTTATTTATTTAATTTTAAACCGTTTTAAAGATAACTGCTTCTGTTAAATTTAGAGACCAATTCAAACTCAAATTCACCAATTCTCTATTCAGCCGGAGTTGAACTCGACTCTAATGATTTTAAATGGGAGTGATTTATTGAAACAGTCAAACAATTCTCAGTCTAACTTGCCAGCAAGAATCACAAGGACTGGCTCTCTTCAAACACACTTAAAAGTTACTTTGGAAAACCCACAGCAAATATCGAGGATAAAAAATAACTTAAATAACCGTTTATAAATTTGTGCAATGTATGTGCATAATCAATATCATGCATCAACATATCATACAACTCTCTGCTCCTCCCTTTTTATAAGGAAATTTTATGCAGAAGGGTTCTTGTAATCCTATTTATAAGAAATAGTATTTTGACTAGAGCATTTATTAAAATTTTCCGTTTTATTACCATCATAAAAAGGGGGTTTTATTATTAATGAGATGTTGAGATCAATTATCAAAAGCCACTAGTCAATTATTAAATGACGATGTTGTTGGAAAGAAATTTTATGGGTAACATTATATATATTAACTTGCTTAATGGTGATTCTGAAAAATTTAAAAAATTGACACTTAACTAAGTCGAATTATTTTTTAAAATCTAAGTAAAATAAGTTAATAAATACTTATAAAAAGGATTAGAAAGAATAATAATTATTTTTAAGTATTAATTTATATAAGAAGTATGAATAAAAGATACATACCTATACACATAGGACCTGGAACTATCCAAGCATGATGGCTGATGAGGCGTCCTGGTTTGGAGTATCAACCTCTCATTCTCCTTCCGCAACAAAACATCCCATATCTTGTCCACCAGATGGCCCACTAAATTCAGATTTCTGCTCATTTGTCATTAATTAAAATTCATTAGAAACCGGATTCTCTTTTAAATAGGCTGCTAATTGTTTTAATTTTCCATAACGAAACAAGATCGACCATGTTTGATGAAGATTAAAGTTGTAATTCTTCCGGTTTTTAATTTAAGAGCTTGTTTAATTTGACTCTTATTTTGATCCTAAATATAAGACCTCAGTCTACTTTATCTTTCCTATTTAATTTTTTTTTAAGATAGTTCTTGTAATAATAGTAGTTCTAACCAATACACACTTGATTAACAAGGATAGCTTAAAAAAGACAACATCTATTTATTACAAAGAACTAACGTAGTTAATTTTTTTAACCTATTCAAATTAATTAACTAGCTCTTGTATTAAAGAGTATTTCAGTAATATTTTTTGATTAGAATGACTCGCAGTCGATCACTGTCGAGTCCTTATAACTCTGTCAAAAATATAAATTAAGAGAATGGAGTTACCCATGTGACGGGCATGCCGCGGGAGAAGAATCTTCAGGCGTAGGGTCATCATCATCGTGTGAAGAGCCGCCGCCGGAATTGGGTCCGTCGTCAGGTGAACAATTCTGCGATGAAAGTCCTTCATTCCCGTGGCTCATACAGTCCAGTTTTCTCTTCACATCAATAACTATATCCTTCAAAAGGGCAGATTCCTTTCTATACAAGCAAAATGCCATTCACTAAGTGGAGACAGTTTAAGAGACAGTCATTTGAATTTAACACAACTAAATTGATCTCTGACTAAATAAACTTTCTTATTAATGGTGAGAGAGAGAGAAAGCAATTAACTAGTACGTACTTATAAGAAGAGCTATCCCAACCAGCGAGATCGGCCGCTTCTTTCATGGCGTTCTCCCACCGTTGCTTTGTCTCCTTCACATTGGACCTAAACAGGTTATTGTGATTTCTGAAAATATTTGAATAACTCCTTTTCTTTCGGACTTCTGAAGGACTAATTCCATAGAAAATGGGGAGGACAATTTGTCCGTTTGTTCTCTTGCAGTTCATTATCTTCACTAGTTCATCCAAAGTCCAACTTGAGGAGGCGTAGTTTTTGGAGAAGACGACGAGTGAAATCTTGGATTGCTCGATTGCTCTTAAAAGCGTGGATGATATTTCGTTCCCTCTTTCCAGATCGCGATCATCCATGTATGTTCTGATATGACTCGTTTCCAAAGCTTCATGGAGATAGCTTACGAACCCGTAGCGGGTGTCTTCTCCTCTGAAGCTGATGAATACGCCATGACTATTTTCTCCTGTAATTGGGCTAGGGTTAGAAGATGAAGGCTGGGAAGATGAACATGAACAAGATGATGCTGCTGCTGCTGATGATGATGATGATGGTGATTTTAAGTAGTCCTGATGATGAGTATTTTCTCTGGTACTAGAGCTAAGGTCGAAGAGGGATGAAGAAGACGATGTTGCTGCGGATGATGATGATGATGATTCCATGTAGGTGTCTTCTTCTCCATCAGTGTTTTCTCTGCTGCTAGGGCCAAGGATGGCCGAGAAATACAAGGAATCATGTGAAGAAGAAGATGACGCTGATGATTTCATTCTGGGTGAATCCTGCTAATTAATAATTCTTCGTTCAATTCACTTTCAGGATTGTGTCGCAGCAGGAGGGTTGACCAAAAGCAAAATGCATAAGCCGGCCGCTTGCTGATCTGCTGAGGGACATATTATTTTTCCCGGAAAGTAGAAAGTAAAATTTCAGTGGAGGTGGACAGGATTTCAGAATATGTCTTTGTAAAACTGTGACATCATGCATGACGGACTCATCTCGCTGCGAAGATTGTGAGAACTGAGAGGAAAGTGAGAGGCCTAACATATAGCAACCAGAACTGGGAAGTGGGAAGAAAGAGATTGAAGGTAAACGCAGCGTTTTGCTGCGTTTCTTCTTGCTTTAGTCGATTACCAAGGTTTTTACTGCCGTTGGATCTATCGGACAGCTGAACGTGCGTGATTGATATAGTCCATTAGATTCATCTAGCCAACCAAACCCTTCTGAAGAAACAACTGCCTTACATATAAAGGATCGATTAGCATTATACATATGCTGACTGAGTCATCTCGCATAAACGCGTACAATTAAGAAAGAGTTTGGAAACTTCCGGGAAGACGAGGCTGCCAAACGTTTAACATTTAAATTCTTTGAAAGCAGATGCTTGCAACCAAACGATCATTTTGTGTTCCTTTATTTATTTACAGCAAGACGTATTTTAATGATTTAATAATTTGCAAGAATGCTGATGCAGTGAAAACGATAGTCAAATTGTTTAATTAAGAAACATTCAAACTCCAAAGTCAGGGTCAAGCTCAGCTCGATCAAGCCCAGTCAATTTTTCGGAAGTCCTATGAAATATGAATTATGAGAAGCCCCGATAAATAATGATGCTTGTCTCTGGTCCTAATACTAGTATTAAAGCCAGGTATGATGCCAAAGTTTTCCATGATTTTTTGTGAACAATCCGCATGCGTCAAGTATATATATACAATGCCAGAGATCAAATTAATGACCTCAATTATCTGAAATTCCCATGTTAATATCACGTACGCCTCAAGTTCTTTTTAACGTTTTGCAATGGGCTACAGATTCCTATTTTTTCCTTTTGCATGCAAAAGAAATTAAAGCTGGATACAATTTGGACAACAGTAATTGAGTCTAATGGAAGGAGCCAGTTTCATAATGTGGCAAATCAATATTTAAATTATTACTGAGAGATGTGTCCATATTTAATACTACTTTCGATTCTTAACATAAGACCCTGTTTGACTTTTATTTTGGTCCTAAATATAAGACCCCAATCCATTTTGTCTCTCATATTTATACATTTTTTTTCCAAAGTAGCCATTCTAACAATGATAGTTCTAGTTAATACATTTGATTAGTAAGGATATTTTAGGAAAGATAACACCTATTTAAAACAAATAACTAACTCAACTTACTTCCTTAATCTTCTCAAATTAGTTAACTGGCTTTTATAATTAGGACCGAAGGTAGTACTCAACAATGTCTTGAACATGGTTGCTCTCCATAAGGAGACACCTATGTTAGAAAAAAAAAAAAGTGGATATGATATATTCATTTCTATTACACTACAAACTTGATCCACCTCATTGGTAACATAGAGCTGCGTGATTAAAGTGCCCGTTTGCTTTCACTAAAATAAGTATTTGTACGGTTTACAAAACTAACTCATTTCTTTCTTTTCTTTTTTTTGGCCATCATTTCGTATATTTATCTTGTGCAACATAAAATGTAATGTACTAATGTCTGTGTGTGTGTATACACACGACCAACACCTGGTGCTGCTTTTTTCTTTTTTTTTTTCCGGTTATGAAAGAACTTCAGTGTCTTGAAACGGAAGGAATAAAGGACACTCGCAACTCACAAGGGATTTTTTTTTTGGGTTTTTGTATGAAAGAAACTTGGGCAGCTAGTCATAGTCACATTCACCCGGATTCGATCGTTGTTACTTTAAAAAGGGCATGCTTTATGTCAACATCACTTTAACCTTTTTTTTTTTTTTCGAGTGGGACGTCACTTTAACTTTAAATATGCTTACTGACCACCCGTGAGCTATTAAAATACATGTATATGTCTACAGACTCGGGGAAAAAAAACGATATTTTTATTAAGAAAATAATAAAATCGAAGTATGAAATTGTAATCCAAAATCAAATTAATTACGTAGAGAATTAGATCAAAAGAAAGTTGAAGAGTAAAACAAAATTTATAATATAATTGAAGGATAAAAATACATTGGGACCAAAATATGTTTCATTCTATTTATGGGCGAAGTGAATAGTTCCCAATCCTTTAATTATGTGTTATCAAATGGTCCGGCGTTATTTAAGAAAAAATATATATTTACAGTAAAATCTTAAGAGCGGAAAATAATAGCGGAATTTGACCAAGTCGATCTTGTGAGTTGGAGTGAGGAGACCGGATTTTTTTTTTCCCTTTTACGATTAACTCAATGAGTTGTATAATATATATATATATATATATATATATAATACTCTAGCCAACCAAAAGATTCGGATTCCTCCATTATCAGCTTAATTTAGTTGCTGCGTTACGTTGACCCAATTTTTTCCATTTGGATTCTTGTGTCATAAAAATGTATCTATGCCATTATATAAATTGTTCGGATCCTGTGAACATTTGGTCCTTGTATATTCTATGATAAACCTTATGCTCATAGAAGTTAAAGATACTCTAAATCTAATAAATTCGGCCAAAATGTGGGGTGGCATGGAGTATAAATGGGTATATAATAATTAACAATGCTCATATGAAATATATCTTTTTTACATGGTTATTATCATATTGTCTCGTTGCAATAGACAAAAACTATAGATGGCTTTTATAAAGTGAAAAATATATATGGTTATAAATATAAGCAAGAGTTTACGGCTATATATGTCTAGGCAGACGTTATTTATTTCTATAATTAATAGGCGTCTTCTAAACTTTAATGAAATAGTGGGCAACCGTTTTGATGAGCTATCAAATTTGTCAACATTTATTTCTGTAACTAGTAATTTTATTTTAGCCAGCATAACAGCTTTGTACGTTAATAGGAGAGTTGTGAGCTTACAGGCTGCAATTTTAAACCCTATTGAAGCCCAAAACATAGTACAAGGGCCAAAATGACAAGATGGGTTTTCTCTCTAGGGTCTCACTGTTCTAGATCCTTCTTATTGTATCAGCACCCTCCTCACAATTGTTATATATGCAATATTTCAATGTACATGCAATACACAAGAGAAATACACACACATAGTTTTCATACTTTTCTCTCCTTTTTGTCTCTTTATAGTATCAGAGCCATACTCCTAGGAGATGGCTAGCTCTCCAACTCCCAGCTCTATCACCACCCCACCTAACACTCCTTCCTCGTCCATAAATCCATTCACAGTCCCTGCTTCACATCTTTCTGGCCATATCACTATTAAGCTCACTCAAGACGACCATCTTATCTGGAAATCACAAATCATGACTTATCTCTTTGGTCAACAGTTGTTTGGTTATATTGATGGTTCTATACCTCAACCTCCTTCTAAAACTTCTTCTGGTCTGCCCATCAGATACTATATTTCATGGTTCCATCAAGATCAACAGGTTCTGTCAGTTCTTCTTGCTTCTCTTTCTGAAAAAATAATTCCCCAGTTCATTAGACACAAAACTTCAAGATCAATGTGGATAGCCTTGGAGACATCTTTTTCCCAGGAAACACAAGCCAAGCTAGTTCATCTTCATCAGCAGATCACTAACTTGAAGAAAGGTGGAGAATCAACGTCTGAGTATCATAAAAGAGCCACTATACTTGCTTGCTGACTCTCTTGTTGCCGCCAGAAAACCTGTAGCAGATGATGACTTTATTACCTATCTCCTTGCTGAAACAATAGGAAGGATCTAGAACAGTGAGACTCTAGAGAGAGAGCCCATCTAGTCATTTTGGGCCTTGTACTATGTTTTGGGCTTCAATAAACAGCCATAACCATACGCTGACATATATGTAAATTTAACTTTTAAAATACAAAAAAAAAAATCAATGATTCAATTAAATTCCAATATAAACTTCATCAACGACGTCGTTACAGCAAAAAAGAACAAGTACTAATTACCAAATCATTGTAATATATTTAGTACAGCTCAAACAAAGGATCCGTTATTCCTACCATAATAAAAAAGAAATACTACCTCCAATCCTTAATATAAAATCTAGTTTGTGGTTTAAAATGAACAACAAACTAGATCTTATATTAAAGGTTGTATTAGAGGTAGTACATTAAAACAAGATGTGCAGCTAGAAATAATTTTTGGTGGTGCTTGAAATTTCCATTTCAGAAAGCAGGTCAGGGGTGAGGCGAAGCTTCCTCCACTTCTTCTCTATTGTTATGTATTTGTTCAGAAATCTCTTCTTGAAGCTGTGCCGGTTGCTCTAACCTCTTTCGCTGCAAATCCATGTCTCCAACCAAACAAAATATCCATAAAACGTAAAACGTCCCCACATTACAATAAACAGAGAGGAAGATTATACATAGAACTTCCATCAATATTTGCCTTGCAAGATGATCGAGACTAGAAATAAGTATCAGTGGTTGGTTAAATTTCCATATGGGAAAGCAAGTCAGGTGTGAGACGAAGCATCCTGAACTTCTTCTCCATTTTGAGTCGTGTGATGCGTTCCAGGGTTGCCTCATGGTTTCTTTTATTCTCAGAACTATATACTTCTTCCGAAAACTCTACTTGAAGCTGTGAAAGTTTCTCTAACTTCTCAACCTGCAAATCCAGGTCTCTGACGTTCACCCCATCAACTTCCTCCAACACAAACTTCCCTATTTCCTCCACGATCTCATGTTCTGTCCTGCATATACATCACAAAATATTTCTAAATCTACTATCTGATTTTTTTTCTTTAAATTCAATTCGTACAATCAATTAATTACCTGTTGATGGTACAATCCCAGCCCGAATAAGTAGAAGCTTCCGTCAAAGCATTCCTCCATTACTGGACCTTCTCCGAGCTACCCTTAAAATTCTGTTCATGAACTGCAAA